TCGGAAGAGTATCAGGGAGAAAGAAAGAGAGGCGGATTGTCGGACGGAGAAAGAAGCGCGGTTACCGAGGTAGTCGATTGCACACGATGCGCCGGTACGGAACGGGATCGTGGTCGAGGTTCCAGCCACGATCCTCTTCCAGAACCAACCTTTCGCCTCGTGTACAAACGACTCGCTCTAGGCAAGCTCACCCCTCTTCACTTCCGACGCTCGCAACGCACTTCCCTGGGGGAGGTTGTAGCCAATCAGCGGTCGAGTTTCCGTGGCCCGCGGCCGCAGGCTGACTCCACGTCTCCCGTACCTAATGTAGGTTGTCGAAGGTAGGCATCCTTCGTACCCTCCTCGCCTTTTTACCTCCGTTCCCTGCCTCCTACCCGGCCCGAAGGTAACGAAGGTCATTCGCGGGGGCCCTATACCTGATTTCGTTTCCCCCGTTCCTCGTCTCCCTCGCCCCCTTACGAACATTCTTACCGGTCCGGGAACCGAGTAACTAATTACTCGAGGAATTAAATGCACGCGGAGGGGTGTTGAACTCTTTCGAAATTTTATTTCCGCCATAACGCGCGGGTTACCGGATTAAATTAGGCTAACGTGCAAAGGTCTCGAATTGTTTCTAGTTTACCTCGGTTACCGGGGTTCCTCGGGGTGCCCCGTCGCGTATCGCTGGCGTCGATGTCGCGATATCCTTCGAGGAATTGGGATAATATGGACAATTAGGGGTTCCGAAGTAACGTTATTCTCGATGTCGTTGAGCGCGTATTATGCGTGACATTCGATTGGCTCCGAAACTCGCACGAGGGGCTGCTTCGATTCCATCCGAACGCAAAAATGGCGTTAGTCGAGACGTCGGATTAACGGGGTCGTCTGGCGAAAAACCGAATGATCTGCTTCTGGACGTTTTTATAATTGGAGCAACCGTGTATAATTGGATTAGACGTACTCTCGCGAACGTGGATACGATCGAGTTACTCGTCGTTCCAGCGTATTTTCGTTGTTATTTCGTCCAATTTAAACTTGTTCCGCGTCGCTTAACAAGGTAACATCAAAGGAGGCGAATGGGGTGAGATACACACTCGTTTATAATTATACACATTACGATTTATTGACGAGCAATGATCGTACACTTCGTGTAACATGAATCTCGAAAACAATTGTAACAAAACACGAGAGTAAACACGCTAGCTAATTAGCGATAACAAACATTGCCGATTATTAGTGGTCGGCAAGATGTAACGCGACGTTTCGAAACGAAGAGAACCTTGCGACAATGACATGGATAATTAGATACTCGAACGATCAATCGTACTAGATATATAGCGATATAATATGCATTTATAGCCTGAGTCATCTCGCGACTTAATCTACGGTAATTTTCGATTTCTTTTCTGTTAATTTTGATTGAACGCGTTGCGTACAACGCCTCGTGTCTTACATCTTCCCACGCGCTTCTCGAAAGACGGTCTTTACCGATCCGTACGCAACGCATTAACGAAAAATGGCAATCTTAGGACCGTTTTGTAAGGTGGCAACGAAAAGGTGGCGTAGAAGGTCGAATTAAAGATAAAACGCGAAAACAGGAGGGGTTTGAAGTATTTCAATAACTGTATTATCAGTGATTATTCATATTCTTATTTCGATTACAACTCACAGCTTGTTTATCATGGAAATACTGTATTGCGTTACATATTTAGTATTTATGAGAATAATATCGATAGTAACTGCGTAATTAGTTGCATTCTATTTCACAGAATTACGATGAAAATGCTTTTGAAGCATAACCGATCACGCTTATCGTTACAATTCTAAACTTTCTAAACAGAATGTTACGTAACTACGTTGAATAATAATAGGCTTCGCGATGATAAAAAATAACACGTTTATTTGTTATAATTTCAATAACTTTTTAAAAATCTAAAACATTCGCATAAATTTTTTGATCACACAGACGCTTTGATCGCTCGATCGCTGTCGTGACAATTTTCGTCTATTTTTCTCTCGTTCTTTTTCACATTCTATGCTTATTACGATACGTCAATTTTTGGGCACAATGGTTTCAAGAAATGTCCTCAAGGTATATCCAAAATTGGTAAAGGGTTCTTGATCCCACGTCGTGGTGCAGGTATATAACCTGCGCGTTAAAGTCTTTTCGAATTGTAACTTTAGATAAGATTTACATCGGCGACACTGTTCGTGTCGTTAACAAGGAAGTACACGAGTGTTGCTTCGAACAATGGGTTAATATTTCAAGTACAACTTACGTACATGTTACATGGCAGCTATTCATTCTTGGAACAAATCGGATATTAAAATCTTCGCAGTCTTCGTGGCTACTACATTAGATGGTTTCGTAAACCATCCCGTTCGAACGAACATCGTCTTACTACTTGTTCAACGTGGGTATCCTGTAATTGGTGGATCGATAGATAGATTATGATTGATCGTGACGGTAGAACGTAACGCGATTCCATTTAAAAAGGCCGTAGAAAAATAACATGTAAAAATCTGGGTCCCTTTTAGTTCACCGTAAATTCTAACGAGCAGTGGCTCTAATGTAACCCCCGTTTTCCTAAACTGGCAGTTTTTGATTTTTAGCTTATTCGAAATCGTGTGTGGTTCCCTTTTCTTTTTTCTCAAGCATTGTCGACGATGGGCAATTACATAACTAATTGACGCGAATTTCGTAACTAATTTAAACATCCGACCTCGTCGCGAATCACGGGCATTGACACTTTCCATTATTCCTTTTCGTTATTCCTTGGCACCTTTCCTCCGTTTATTTCGACTAGATGTTTCCAACTCTACTCTTGCATACCCACCTTGACTTTCATTCCATAATTATCATATTCTTTCTAAGCAACGTGTACGCTCGATCGACGTATGTATGTATGTATACCGTTAACACTGAATTATTCTGATCGTTCGAGTAGGATCTGGATTCCTAGTAAACCTTTTATTTCAAATCTCCTTCGAATCATGTTCATCTTTATTGCTGTCCTTGTACGCACGGGGGAGCAGTACTGTTCGATTGTACAAATTCCGATACAGCATTAAAAGTCATCGTATATCATTCACAACGAGCTTTCGACGCACTCGATATTAGTCTCTTTTCCCAGTGTCTCCAGGCGCTCGATCGCATCGATCTCGGACGATAATATATCATTCATAAATCAATAACAGCGATATGAGTTTACACTTTTATAAAATAAAAACATCCTTAGATAAGATACGCACGGGTGGTACGTATATTTTAACTCCCAATCCAACCGTACGTCTCGATCCAACCGGAAATAATCGAGCGTACATTCAAATGTTTCCGCAAACCTCCACGTAGCTTCGACTTATTCAATTTCGTCGGGGTTGCTCGTAACGTTACTCGCGCTATTCGCATAATGTAGCATAATGCAGCCGTAACGGCTCGTACGTACATCCCTTGCCGCGAAATTGAATCGGCCTTACGTCGCGATAAACCGCTTGTAATATATTACGTTATGATAGACGATAATTAAATTGCACTAATACATTGCACATGTTCTCTGGCGTTCTTTGGCATCTCTATGAAGTACATATTTCTCTAAGGTTCTAAAAAAGGAGCGACAACATGTGGGGACAAGAAAGCTTATCCGTCATCCATCCACCGTGTTCCATTCTAACCATTCATCCGTTATCCTCATCTTCACAACCCTTAACCATACGTTATACTACGTCTAATATATCTCTGCCAGGCATTGTGCCATTGCGATTCGCCGAATTGCGCCGACTCTTTCCGTAAATTAATTTCTCAGCTCGGGCAGAAGTAGGTGTAATTTGCAATTTAATGGTTGATCATAGACACACATACATGCATTACAAACATACGTAGCTTAATATATCTAGGTAACAACAGACTGGATACCACTATCGTTTCTTTGTTCCAGGGCGAGAGACACACGGCAACTCGAAACTAATTCGTTTTCGGCTTCTATTTTTCAGTGTAAAAAGGTCTCGCGGTTAAACAACGCTTTTTCTCTCTTTCTTTTCTTTTCTTCTTTTTTTTCCTTTTGCTAATTTTCTTAATTTCCAAAAGTACCTATATTCGTTCCATTTACTCTCACGGTATTAAATGTTGCAATCATTCTTCCACTTTCACTTCCCAAGTTGGCGTTCTAGTTAATGCTACCGGGTGTACCATGTGTCTTCGCACCCACAGGAAACTCGTCGCGTTATACGAAACGTTATAGGAAGCGAGAGAAAATATATGGTAACGTACAGCCTTTGGGTTGGTCACATAGGAATCTCGTTTCCATAGGAGCATTTTTACGCGTAATGATAATAGGAAGTTATGAACAGAAATGGAGGATACAGGAAAGTGGAGCGTGTGGTCGATCGAGAATGACGACGCTTACGGTGGTTGCTGCGAGGCGGTATTGAAGTAACTGACTCTTTGATTCCTGTACTGCGAAGCGACCACAGCCTGGGGATTAGGGATGTGCCTGATGCTCAGATTCGGTTTGATTTTCATTCCGAAACCGGAGATTCTCTGATGAGGCTGCGGTATTCGGAGGGCTACCTTGCTGGCCAAATTGGCTGAACTAAGCACCAAAGGATCGACCGAGTTTTCGTCGGTGATGCATCCGCTCAGCAGGGATACAGCTGCGTCAGAAAGTGTCATTAGATTGGAGTCTTGACCCCGTCGTTGTTCCAAGTCTTTGGCCTTGCCGCGTAGCAAGCTTCCGGCCGAGATCGCTGGTCGTGACGTTCTAGGGGTCAACGAAGACACGGAACAGGGCGAAGAGGACGACGAAGAGGAGGAGGAGGAGGAGGAGGAGGAAGGAGAAGAGGACGAAGAGGAGGAGGGTGACGAAGAGAAGTTGCTGGTGGATAAATTGGCAGACAGATCGAGGACGTTATTGCGTACGGTTCCTCCGCTGCTTAGATCTAACGGGCTCTCGTATTTGGAGTTGTTTGGCTCTAAAATGGCGCTGGACGCGGCGAAACCGGAAGGCTTCGCGACGCGCAGTGGCGCCAGTGGTGGTGGTCCTTTCTTTTTCGGAGGGGTGTTGACCTGTATGGGTGCGGGGTGCTCCTCTTTTGTCTTCGACATCGTTTTCAACGCGTCGCGCATCTGTTTCTCCGCCAACAGACTTCTCACGCGATTGGCCTTGCTTTCGCGCAATTGTTTCTCGAGTTTCTCTCTGTCCAAATTATCGATCTTCTCCCCGTTATTTTGAACGCGTTGCTTCGTTTTGTCCCGGAAATTGTCGCTGGCCTCGTTTATGGCCACCAAACCCAATCGACGTAGAATTTCCTCGTCTTTCTTCGGACGTTCCGCCGGTTCGACATGCTCCGCTCTCTTCGCGGTCTCCGGTTCCATCTCTTCTTTCTTAGGCGGTGATCTAACGGTCGAAGACGCGTTTCTCTGATCTATCCTTTCCGCTGCGACAGACGGATCTTCTACTTGGGTGGTTATATTTTGTGCGATTCGAACAACCTCGTCGGGTATGCTGTCTATAATTTCTTCTATAGTCTCTTCTTCTATAGTCTCGCCGATGTTCTCTTTTGTACTGGCGCCATCCTCTCGAATTAGGGCGCCTGTCGATCGTTGCTGACTTATCGTCGTGGCTTTGATCTTTTCTCTTCTAACGGCTCTCATTTGCAGTAATTTCTCTTTCGCCTGGCCACTTCCGCTGCTCGAGGTGACCCTCGGTGGACACGGGGTCAATCGAACCTTCAGCTTCAACAGATCTTCCCGCGGCGTGGTGGTGATCTCGGCGATCACTCGCTTGTTTCGTCGTTTCCTGTGCTTACGGTGCTCCAATTTCGCCAGTTCCTTGGTCTTCGAACTCTCTGGTGCGTGATTGGTCTGTATCGGTACGAGATTGGGCGTTCTCATAACGGGAGTAACTTTGCATCGGGGTTTCTTTGCTTTCGGTTCTTTGTCGCGTTCTAAATTGGTTTTCAAAGATCGAGGCGGCTCGGTGCTACTTTCTAAAATTCTACGAGCCTCGACTTCGCATTCTTGAACAGGCTTAGGACTCGGCGGTGGTGTCGGCGGCCTTTGAATATTTTCCATCGTCGCGGTATCCTTGGCCGGTTCATCGTCGAAGGAGCTCACACTCGAGACGGAGACAACCTCCTCCTTGCGTACCACGCGATAAAACAGCTTCATAGGTGCTTCCTGCAACGTTAAAATTATCGCTTCCCCTATGGTAACTTGCATCGGTCACGAGAGTTTTAGGTACGACTGACGCAAACAGGGAACGATCGACTTGCACCGTACGATCGGGAATTATGCAAGTGAAACGGATGTGGAGGAAAAGCAACTTACGGGGTGTTCGAATAACCACGATGGGCCGAGTAAACGATGGGGGAAGATACTCACTCTTTTCCAGCCGAATATGCAGGCAAGATCCATCAGAGTCCAAGAGTGGTCCAGTACCATCGTCTTGGCGTTATCGCGTCGATGCTCGTTGTTCCTCTCGCACAGCATCTCGATCTTGTTGACATTTACCCCGTTCGCTTCCTCCCATCCTCTCTTCAGCATCAGCAATCGCACCAGGTGCCGAACCGTCACTCCTGCCGGACATTTGAGATACCGCGTGTTTCTAATCTGAATCGCGTCTTCCTGTTTCGTTTGATCGGCGTTCGTTCGGTGTCGTGACCCGGCACGGTTTTCCGGTTCGTGAGCGGGTTCCTCTTCTTCCGGTTCGTCGAGCTCGCACAAGCTCAGGCTGACAAAATCGTCCAAGGTTAAGTCCAGAGCACCCAAAGGTAGGGCTAAAGGTGGGCATTGTGGATTGACCAGCCGGAAATGACGCCTTCGTTCGAGCTCCGACCGGAAGAGGCCGGGTACCACGAGATACACCAGTCGTTGCAGCTTTACGTCCGGCAAAAGTGGCGGAGACGTTGCGACACTGCATACGGGACACGCTCTGGCACCGCTACTCAATCGTCTGACTATACAACCTCTGCAAACTGAGCGTCGTTCGACATATACTTCGCGTTCGATTCATAGTTCTTAAATGTTTAATCGTGCTCGTTTTATCGGGGATCTGAAACCCGATCCGTTTTCGAAATTTGCATCGTTACGAGAGGATATTAGAAACGCGTGGAACGAAGAGCGGAGCGGTTAGTCACCCTTCTCGAATTTAGCCACCCTGCCAGAGGGGCAGACGGACGGATGGGACTATTTCACGCACGCGAAGTAGATGCGACCGTTCGAGGTACGGCACACTACGCGTAATTCTCCAAACGTTACCGAACGATATCCACAATTTTAGCCTCCTCGGGCATTTTTTCCATTGCAAATCAACGATAACGAGTCGACGATTTCGCGTGATCGAAATGAATACTAACAAGAATGCAGGCATTCCACGAGAGTCGTTGCATCTATGAGGTAGCCTCTGCAGAGAGGACACACGATATGTTCGTTCAAGTCTTTAACCAGCGGCTTCTCCCTCTCCGTCGCCTCCATGTCGCTACTCGGTTCTGAAACAGCTGTGCCATCCGATTGTTAATCCACGAGACCAAAGTGTAACGGCTAAGCGGTTTTTTAATTAACCGCGCGACGATGTTTTCGTCGCGGGTTATACGGCGAGCCACGAAACCGACGTCACCTTTCCGTTTCTCGCGGCGCGTCTCGCGTAAAATTTGCATGCATCGTAACGACGAATCGTCGTACGCGACAGCGAGCTGGTCGGTGATCGGCGATCTCTGGCTTATCTAAAATTAAATCGCGCTACGTACGCATTAATACCGACAACAGCAATATCGACGCGCATTCTAATAATGGCCGGGGGATTCCGAAATGCAGGTAGTCGCGCGCACGCACGCACACGGACACGCACACACGCACATTAGCCTGCACGGGGGAGGAAACACACTCGCGTAATCACGTTAGGATACATTGAAAGCGGCGATTTCCATTTACGCCAGACTCGTACACGCCGTCGATATATTTAGAATAATGAAATATCTCGTGAAATCGAAGGGGGGGAAACGAGTTACGCCGAGAGACTTTAAGGTCTATCTCTTAAAGGGGATGGTTTCTCTTCCCTTCCCGCTGTCTGTCTCTCCAACGATATTCGATAATATTTTCGAACAGACGAAGCGTGTTCCTCGTGACGAGCATAGACGGGCATTTAGCCGGTATCGCGCGAACGAATCTGGTTTCGCGCGAACCACGCTCGCGATCGGCCCGTTGGCGCGCTCGGACGCGCGCGCGCGAGCGAGCGTTACGGCGTTCTAATAGCAGGTTGCTCTTCGCGAGCGGTCGTTAAGTGGTGGCAAATGAAAAAGCCGCTTCCTGCGAACCTTTGGACCAGCGTTATCTGGTGGCGGGAGATTAAGGAAAATTTCCTGGTCAGCGAACAGGGAACGCGTTTATCGAAGCGACGCGCGCGTCGAGCAACGAGGTCCTCGCGTGAAAGGTACTTGACAGTGAAACCAGCCGGTCACGCGACCACGTCGGCCTGGAAAAACTAGGTTTTTAGAGCTCGCGCGCACCGATCTGCCGCACGATAATAACAGAGGCCAAGTGTCACTGCGCATGGCTAACGAACTCTAAGCAAGGTGGAAAGGCTCCTCGACCACCTGCGTCGTCGACGACATAGTCCACTACTCGCGCTCGGACAATTTCGGTCTGCGAATGATACGCCAAGGCCGGGAACACGACAGAAACGCGGTGGGGTCACCGGGAATGGCAGGAGTAATGAAGAACTGGAGGAAAGGGGAAGACAGAGTGTGCGAGAGAGTGCGAGGAGAGAGAGAGAGAGAGAGAGAGAGAGGGAGATGGACGGAAAAGGAAAGAGAAAGGACGAGTAGAAGGGCTTCTGCGTTCGAACTTGGGAAAGGTCTGGCGCCAAGACCGGGGAGAGTTAATTCGTTCATCGTGTATATACGTCATGGTTTTTTAGAGTTCGACGCGATGCTCTCGATAGAACGGAGATTTCTCGAGTACGTATGTACGCATCTTCGCGATCCCGATCGCATCCGGAGTACTCGCGTGCAAACGACAGGCCGGTACGAGGCAAAAAATAAATTCGATGGCGCGGCGGTGGCGGTGGCAGTGGCGGCGGCAGCGGTGGGAAACGGAAAACGGAAAACGGAAAACGGAAGAGGGAAAGGGGAAAACGAAAGGGAAAAGAACGGAAGGCGCGAGCGGTAATGGAGAATCGCGAGGGTAAGCCGTCGTCGATAGGAGCGTTGCCACGGTAACATCGGTGGTTCGAGCGTTTTTGCTTCGAACGTCGACGTACCGGTCCGAGAGAGTACGGTAGCTATTCCAGGCAACAGGATCTCGCGGGCATCGCGGCGAGCAGCGCTCCTATCTTCGGCAGAGGATCGCGAGAGTACCGAGCGTAGTACGGGCTTGTTGGTCGATTCACGCGACTACCACACGTTTCAGGGCGGTATAGAGAGGCTTACGTGTAGGTGCTTACCAGCGCAGCGAGAGAGATGGTCGCCGTGGCCAGCGAGCTGCCGTCCCGGCTGGCAGCGGAACGTAGCAGCGGACGTGGCAACGACGGTGTTCTTGGTTGCCGTATCGCTTCTCGCGGTGCAGCGGGCGAAGAGAGGTGGCAACGCCGCTCCGTCCGTCGGCGTGCGGCGCCCCGAGGCTCTCTCTCGCGATAGCGCGCTCGTTGTCGTCGCTCACGCCGTCGCACTCCTCACCATGGTCGTCACGAACCCGTGACCGCGAGCAATCCTGATAACTTGCACGCCGCGAGCTACGTACCATCACGTCCCTGCTGCCTGCGAGCACAGCGCCGCGCACATGTCCGACGATTTCGACCCGATTCTCTCTTTTTCCTTTCCCCTTCCTTCCTTCCTTCCTTCCTTCCTCGCTCTACTTCCCTCTCTTTACTCCCACTCGCTCTCCTCCTTTACTACGTTTTTCTTCTTCGATCGTTCTTCCTACGTCTCTTTGTCCCTTCCCTCGTTCGCACCGATCCAGACCAGACAACCCAACTCGCTTCTGACTTTATTATTCTCCTCTACCACGTTCCTTCCTTCCGATCGACGTCGTTGTCGTCGTCGTCGACGTCGCGATTGTCCCGTCGACGACGTGGTTGTCGATCGACCGGTGGGTCGACAGGCGCGCGCGCGCGCTCTTGCTCGTGTCTCTCCTTCCTTCTCTTCCTCGCGTTCTCCCTCCACGGCCTCTCTTTCTCTCTCCCTCTCTCTCTCTCTTTCTCTCTCTCTGTTGCTCAATGTTCCCCTCCGCACTACCCCCTCCTCCGCGCGACTCACGGGGTCTCGTCTCGCGACTCGACGTAACGTAACCGCTCTCTCTGGCCACGACTCGATTCGGTGCACTCGGCCGACTCTCGAACGAGTGCGACGATGCACGATGATATCGGGGATTCGGCGGTGGCAGCAGCGGCGGCAACGGCGGCAGTGGCGGCGGCGGTGGCGGTGGCAGCAGCGGCCGTGGCG